TATAAATTAAATAAAATTTTTATTTATTTATTAAAAAAGTGTGTGATATAAATATTTATGATGAAGTGTGCAAGGAATGATAGACCTAGTGGAATAGCATAAAAAGGAGTTTAACCTCTTATGATTACGAAAGATATAATAAATTATTTACTAAATAAAGTGACAAAATGGAGAAAAAGTAGAGTAGATGGAAGGTACAGGCATGGCAGAAACAATGGATCAGACTGCATAAAAAGATAGCAAATTAAAGTTCATATAGACCCATGATCATAATGCTCTACTTTTTAAAGTGTTTATTTTCTTGTTGAGTATAGTATAGGGTCCTCTGCCTCTAAAAAAGAATCAGTGCTCTTTTTCCCCTCTCTAGAAACATCTAATTAATTTCATAAAACATCAAGAACCAATTGCAATAGGGTTTATTGCCCACTGAGCCCACAAAGAAAAATAATTTCCAGAAAATTGAAATCTCAGATGGCATCAACATGCTTGGAAAAATTCGCCTACCCACTTTTTGCCCTAATATTAATTGTTAAGAATTTGACACATTTTTTTAGGGTGCCTACCCTTTTGCTTTAGACTCCTTTTTGCCCTCTCATAATGTCTGGTGCTGCTGACACTTTTATTCAGAATGTCGATACCACACTAGTCAACTTTAACTCTCCAAAAAAAAAAATTCAGGCATCAATGATCAACCTAACATAACATATATCTTTGTTTAGTCTAAGTTAAATATGATAAAGAGCAACTAATTAATTGTAAAGATTGAGGGGAGGACTACATAGAACATGTGTTATTTTATGCAAAAAATAAATACGAATTTTGTAAGCAGAAATGGATTATGAAGAGTGGGAAATAATTAATGAACCATGGAAGATGTAATGGATCTTGGGTATGCTCGGGTATAGGTGTATGTGTGCTTATTGCAATGAAATTGCTTGCTAATTTCTAAGAAAAAAAATTAATAAAGCATGGAAGGCACCTGGAGACAATTCATTGTAGTAGCCAGAAGCCCAGTAACGAGCATAACACTGTGCCAAGAACACATCGGCGGCTGCCGCTGACCCACATAAGCTCTTTAGCTCACTGACGGCGTTGGCCACGCAAGCAGAGCAATCACCGGAGCTCAAATCACCCAAACACTGAGCAAACCCCTGAACCAAACCCGATCTACTGACTTTGAACCCAATTACCGTCTGCAAGTCTGCTAAAACTTCATCCCTCCGGCTAAAGAACTCAACGTCATTGTTCACACTTTTACTGCACTTCTTGTACCTACCAAGTACCAGCAAGAATTCCATCAGGTTGGAACAGTTGATATCCATTAAAATCTTAATTTTATGAGTACTCTATTTTATATTCTGAATAAAATAAATAAACATATATATATATAAGTGACCTAAATAGTTAAGTGATTATCTCATTTAATAAGAAATAAGAAGTTTTAAATTCGAGTTATATGGTATACTAGTGAAATAGGATAAAGAATATGAAATAATTATCTCTCATTGTGCACTTAAAATAATAATATATATACATAAAATTAAAGATTTACCTCATTCAATAATTTTAAACTATGCAGACATCACATTCTTTTTAATTTTATACCGTCAAAGGATCAACTCCAATTTTTTTTCTTCCTAATGAAGGGTTTAGCTTTAAATTTCTATACTAGAATAGTTAATAAAAAATCTAAACTTCTTTAATTTACCTAAGACTCGTATCGAGTTTCCCTAAGAAATCCATGTGCTCGTAGTGGATATAACATCCTTCTAGCTGAAGTGAAGCTCCGTAAGAGTAGCGGCAGACGAGGCCAATCTGGGTGGCGGCGCCCTCGATGCAGGAGTAGCAATCAGTGGACTTCAAGTCACCTCTGCACTGGTACAGTCCAAATACAGTGCCTTCCGGTGGAGTTGAGCTTCCGTTTCCAATAGCAAAGCTGTTGTATGTGGCTTGAGAGGAGAAGCTGACCACGGATGCCAGAAAGGAGTTGAGGTTAGTTTCAAAGGGTGAAGTGGGAGCATACTTTTCTTGGGAACAACCGGAGTATATAAAAACATTAGCCTTGACAAGGGAGACATTATTACATCGGAGAGAAAAGAAGAGAAAGAAGAGAAAGAAGAAGGAAGAGTATGTTTGAAGATATGAACTTCTTCTCAACATTTTTTCTTTCTCCTATTGCTTCTTTCTTTCTCAAGGACCTTAATTATTCCTTTTGTTGAAGTGGGATTGCTTTTTGGTCTTTTTCCTGAATTTTCATTTAGCCTCTTTTTCTTGTTAAGAAAAGTGTCCATTTGGTTTATGCTCAATTTCTACCTTATCCTGTGCTATTATTGAGAACAGTTGAGCATATGCCATTACTTTAATTTCTAGCCAAGACTTCGAAATGCATTGGTATCATTTACAAATTAATCCAAGTGAAAACTGGCCAGTTTATGCCTGGAAGTCAGTGGGCCGGAAGCCGAGAAGGAATCGTGGGTGTGGTTATAGTCAAGTGTTAATTTGTTACAGTGACACAATATTTATTTAAAAAATATTGATTTCATTTGCTTTTATGGTTAAAAATAATTTATAATTGCACCGAACCCTTTCGCTCAAGTGGCAACAGCCACTCACG